TTTATGTGGTCCAGCTACATAAAGTAATGAATGGTGAATAGATAAATGTAAATTTATAACTAATATCAGTGATTTTTTTTGCACAAAGGGTGATCAACATTTGAAATTAACCACCAGTAAAGTGTAGTGAAGGAAAACACAAAATTAATTTGACAAACAATTGGTGCCACAATGGGGAACTGAAACATTTAATTAGACTGAAGAATTACAATGAACCAAAATGTTTTTGTCTTCTTATAATCATCAGAGTTTCAGGTACTTTACTTTCCATTTGCACATGACATTCAAGTATTGCCCTATTTCTTCCTTTCTTGGGTTTTGCTTTAGCAATCTTTACCAACAAACTTTTCAAAGCTTCATTTTGCCATGGCCATATCTATTTAAAACACACTACCTTTAAAAATCCCATCCTTTTTTCTATTGGCTGCATCTGCAATGCCAAATGCATCAGTCATATCAGTACTGGTTTCCACTCTAGAGACCTCAATCTGTTGCCCTTAGGCAGTCCCTAATGGCCATTTATATTTCAGCATTAGCATTCACATACGCAGGTATCTTGCACATTATGTGAATGTTAGCCTTCTCTGTTCCTCTATTCTCTTGACCACTTGCTTGTTTTAATCAGACCCCTGTTTGACCCCGTACAACACCAGTTCTCCTATCAATTTTCACATGTGAAATGGTTTAAATATTTATTCCTCCGACAACAGCGCACAAATGCAGGCTGTTGGTGGATTCTTCTTATTGCACTTGTTTCAGTGGAAAATATCCTATTTTAGAACTTTAAAGCACAGCTCGAAGCTCACATGCCTGGTCACCTTCAGCCATCCATAATAGGTCACTAGAATATATACAATTGCAGGTCAAAGTATTATTTTTAAAAATAACAAACAGTATCATTCTCTTGATTAATAACCATGTGTCAAATTAAATGAAAATTCATAAAATCATGCCATACAGAAGAGGCCCTTTGGTCCATGGAGTTCCACTTTCTAGCACTTGGCCCATAGCCTTGAATGTAATGACATTTCAACTGGCTCATACTAGTACAATTTTTTTAAAAAATTGATTTACCCACCTCAACTACACTCCCAGGCAGTGCATTCCAGACCCCTACCATCCACTGAATGAAAAGAGTTTTCCTCAAATTCCCTCTAAACCTGCCTTTCACCTTATGTGTGCTGCCTTGTTATTGACCCTTTAACTAAAGGCAACAGCTGTTTTCTATCAACCCTGTTCATAATCTTATATCAGGCCACGTCCAAGCCTTCTCTGTCCAAAGAAAGTAAAGTCAGAAGGCACACAACACCAGGTTACAGTCCAACAGGTTTATTTGAAAACACCAGCTTGTAGAGTGTAACTCCTTCGTCAGCTGAAGTGAGAAAGAAACACATAAAACACAAACTTTATAAGTAAAAGATCAAAGGTCACACCACTGATGAGGATGTATTCAACAAACCTAAGATGCTGTTAAATCTTTACTCCGTTAGAAGGTCTTAATTGATTAATATGTATATGTAAATCCCCAAATTTCTTTCAAATCACTGCCCTGAGAGAACTAAAGGTTTTATTAGTGTAAAGAAGAGATGACATTTTTGGTCAGACAATGCATGTTAGGTGTGAGGCCTTGTTTAGAATCAGTTTGTATTTTGGTTTGGAGTCAGACTGGTTTTATTTCTAAAGTAGGAATTTATAAAACACGGGCAAAGAAGGAGTCGAATTGGACCCTTCTGGAGGGCCATTGCCCTGGACTTGACAGGTGTGCTCAAACCATCAGAGAATGCATGAACACCAGATTCATCAGCCACACTCACAAAGTAGCACAAAACATCACCCAGACACAACGCAACACCATCCATGCTCTCAAGACCAATCACAACATTGTCTGCTGGTTTGATGACAAAGGAGGAGCCATTGTCATCCAGAATAGAACAGACAACTGCAAGGAAATGTACTGACAACTGAACAACCAGGAACACTACAGATAACTACCTGCTGATCCAACCAAAGAACACACCCAACAACTGAACAGACTGGTCAAGACTTTTGATCCAGTCCTTCAGAGTACCAAACGCACTCTCATCCCGCATACGGGACTTCTACTGCCTTTTGAAGATATACAAAGCTAACACACCTGGATGTCCCATCATATCAGGAAATGGGGGACCCTGTGCGAGAACCTCTCTGGCTATGTCGAGGGCATCTTGAAACCCATCGTACAGGGAACTCCCAGCTTCTGTCGTGACACTACAGATTTCTTACAGAAACTCAGCACCCACAGACCATTCGAACCAGGAACGTTCCTCGTCACAATGGACATTTCAGCACTCTACACCAGCATCCCCCACGATGAGGACATCGCTGTAACAGCCTCAGTACTCAATACCAAAAACTACCAATTTCTAGATTCCACCCTACAATTCATCCGCTTCATCTTCGACCACGACTTCTTCACCTTCGACAACCAGTTCTTCATCCAGACACACAGAATAGCCATGGGGACCAAACTTGCACCTCAATATGCCAAGATTTTCATGCACAAGTTCAAGTCAGACTTCTTTGTTGTGTAGGACTTATGACCAATGCTGTACACTAGGTATATTCATGACATTTTCTTCCTTTGGACTCATGGCAAGGAATCACTGAAACAACTACATAGTGATATGAACAAGGTTCATCCCACCATCAGACTTACTACGGACTACTCTTCAGAATCAGTCTTATTCTTGGACACACGCATCTCCATCAAGGTCAGACACCTCAGTATTCACTCTATCGCAAGCCCACAGATAACCACATGATGCTGCACTTCTCTAGCTTCCACCCTAAACATATTAAAGAAGCCATCCCTTACAGACAAGTCCTAAGCATACAAAGGATCTGCTCAGATGCGGAGGAACGAGATGGACACCTAAAGGTTTTGAAGCATGCCCTCGAAGAATGGGATACGAGGCTCAACTCATCAATCACTAATTCTGATGTGCCACAGCGAAAAACTGCAACAAACCTCCTCAGAAGTCAGAAACGGGATACAACCAATAGAGTACCCTTCGTCGTCCAGTACTTCCCCAGAGTGGACAATCTGCGCCAAGTTCTTTGCAGCGTTCAACATGTCATTGATGACGATGAGCATCTCGCCAAGATCTTCCCTACGCCTTCACTTCTCGCCATCAAACGACCGCCAAACCTTAAACAGTCTATTGTTTGCAGCAAACTACTCAGCCTTCAAGACAACATCGACCACAACACCAAACAACACTGTCATGGCAACCTCTGCAAGACATGTCAGATCATCAACATGGATACTACATCACATGTGGGAACACCACTCACCACGTACACAGCAGATGTTCATGCGACTTGGCCAATGTTGTCTATTTCATAAGCTGCAGGCAAGAATGCCTCAAGGCATGGTATATTGGCCAGACTATGCTGATGCTATGACAACGGATGAATGGACACCGCGCAAAATCACCGAACAGGGATGTTCCCTCCCAGTGGGGGCACACTTCAGCGGTCAAGGGCATTCAGCCTTCAATCTTCGAGTAAGCGTCCTCCAAGGCAGACTTCAAGATACACAACAATACAGAATCACCGAGCAGATACTGTTAGCCAAGTTCTGTACCAATGAGGGCGGTCTCAGCTGTGATCTTAGGTTCATGTTGTACTACATGTGACCCCACCACACTGTTCTTCCTTACTGTCCCAGATAAATTGTTATGATCTCTCTACCTTAATTAGTTTGTACAGTTTTGAATTACTTATTACTTTGGTTAGACCCTCAGCACACAACTCTTATACCTATCATGTTATTCCAGTCATTTGATTTGTCTTCAGCATCACCTTTTTAATTTTTTGTAATTATCTGTGCCTCATTTAATTGGATTATAGGTCATCCTTTCATTGGTTTTTCACCTGTTGACAATTTACTGATCATCTAACACTCTCGGTCACTTGCAGAGACTCCACTCACACCAGTTGTATGATCTTTTGATCTCTCAGCCCTTGATCTCTCTGCCTATAAACTCTGTATCTGTGTGCTCTTCTCTCTCATTGCACCTGACAAAGGGCCTGTGCCCCAAAAATTTGTGATTTCAAATAAACCCGTTGGACTATAACCTGGTGTCATGTGACTTCTGACTTTGTCCACTCCAGTCCAACACTGGCCACATCAAAGAAAACAATCCAAGCTTATTCAGCCTTTCTTAATTGTTAAGACATTCCATCCCAAGCAATATCCTGGTTTAAAAAAAAACAGAAGTTGCTGGAAAAGCTCAGCAGGTCTGGCAGCATCTGTGGAAAAAAAAAAATCAGAGCTAATGCTTCGGTCTGTGACCCTTCCTCAGAACTGTTTCTGTTTTTCTTCCTGATTTACAGCATCCGCAGTTCTTTCGGTTTTTAATATCCTGGTAAATCTCCTCTACACCCGCTCCCGTGCGATCAAATCCTTCTCATTAGTATGGTGACCAAATGCTAACCAGAGTTCTGTACAGCTGCAACATAACCTCCCTGCTCTTATAATGTATGCCAGGACTGATAAAGGAAGCGTCCAGTATGCCTTCTCAATTGCCCGATTAATCTGTCCTGCCACCTTCAGGATTTGTGATAGTGTACTTTTTCTCAGAATCAAAGCAAAACGGGTACTTTTTACATAAAACCGTAAATAGCTTGTAGATACTAACTGCAGCTTCCTTAGTCTTTAGGACACGTGTAGACATGTTTTAACTCACCACTTTGAGTACCAGCTCTGATCCAGGATATGAGCGCCGCCATCTTCCTGACCCCTGAACCTGGTTAGCCTGAACAGGTTCTGTGTAGCTACAAGGTTAAAGGCCGCACCAACCAGGCATTCCTTTCTACATTTTACAGAACAATAGATGCTTAGTGGGGATTACTTTTCCTCCTAACCACGACAAAAAGAGAAATTTTCAAGCCCAGGCTTTGGCGAGAGTGAGGTATTGCGCATGCGTTCGCCTCATCGTGAGCGGTGCGCATGCGCGAGACTGTATTGCGCTCGTGTCGTTTTGACAGTTGGTGGAAGTGAGGAGTAAGAGTCTGTGGGGCTCAATAAACAGTATTAGGATCGTCTTGTTCAAAATTCTCATCAATATTTTCAAAAGGCCTGAAAACACTCTATACGTGTGTTTCTGGACTGTCATTTTCATCTTGTGCGTTTTCCGGCCGTTCGGAGCCGAATAAATACGGTATTCCGATTGGCTCATCCGGCTGTCCATTAAGACATTGCTATTGTGGAGGTGCCGGTGTTGGACTGGGGAGGACAAGGTCAGAAATCACACGATACCAGGTTATAGTCCAACAGGTTTATTTGGAAACACAAGCTTTCGGAGCCTCAGTCCTCCTTCAGGTGTTAGTATTTACACCGAGCTGATTGGGTGAAAATCTGTTCCCCGAGCCAATGGGTGATCGGTGGGCGGGGTTTAGTGCGGCGGTGGCGGTAGATTGGAGGAGAGCGCGCTGCTGGATGACTCGGATGTTTCCTCTTTCCCCACCCCAGCTCTCCCACTGCCTCCTCCCCTTCCCCCAACCCCTGCCGTTCTCCCACTGGATCTCCCGCCTCTCCACTGTTCCCGCGCTTGAGCTTCCGCGACGCTTGTCCGTCTGCGCGTTTGCTGAATTTTAAACCGGGAGTTTGATGCTGTGGTTGCTGGTACGCGAGGTAGGATCAGTTTGTGGTTGATGTTCATCTGTCAGTTTTCCAATATCATCCGAGTGCACGGTCTTGTAATACCCCCACGATATGGAAATATAGCTTTTATTTTTATTTTTGGTGGGTTTTTTTATATCTGATATATATTCAAAGCTAAATGCAAACAAATATGTGCAGTGTTACCATATATGTGCACAATTTAATCACATTGATTCAACTTTTTTTAACATAGTGAAACTAATACATTCCTTCCTGTGATAACAAGGTGTACAGCTGGATGAACACAGCAGGCCAAGCAGCATCATAGGAGCAGGAAGGCTGACGTTTCGGGCCTAGACCCTTCTTCAGAAACATTCCTTCCTGTAATCTTTTTGCTTTGTGCAGGCACGATTCCAGCCACAGGAATTGAAGGCTAATTGTGTTTTAACTAATTCGTTTGAGTTTTTTTTTAGTGAGGTAATAGGTTACATGAAGGGAATGTGTTTGATATGGTTGCTGCACATTGACTTCCAAAAAGTGTATGATAAAGTAGCGCAAATAGTCTGAAAGACATTGATGCCTGTGGAACAAAACAATGGAAATAGATTGAATGACAGAGAATAGATTAGTATTGAATATAGTTTTTTTGGACTGAAGGTGTAAGGTTCTCCAAGCAACAGCACAAGAGTCACTTTTTCAAAGAGAACTGGGAAAGATTAATCTTGACGTAGCTGAGATTGGGAGAAGGAATGACTGAAGTAGGCTATACCACTGGTATTCAGTTGAGAACTTCTTTGACAACAAAGAAAATTTTTGAAACAAAAACAGAAATTGTTAGAAAAACTCAGCAGTTTTGGCAGCATCTGTGGAGAGAAGGCAGAGTTAACGTTTCAGGTCCAGTGACCATTCTTCAGAACTGGCCTTAGCTAGGAAAAAGTTGGTATATACGCTGAAGAGGGGAGAGGAGTAAATGATAGGTGGAGTTGGAGCCCAGTGAGAGAGAAAAACAGTCGGGCAGACAAAGGAATGGGTAAAGGTCAGCCTTCTAAACAGCATCAAGGCAGTAAATCTGAGGAGGAAGCAGAATTACTACCAGTTAATAAACTAAGAGATGAGCATCTTAATGGATCTTCCATAGATGGTGCCACTGGAAGTAAGTGTAGTGTCTGAAATGCTACTTTCTCTAAGATTGGCATAAGTCACGATGAACCATTTCATCATCATGATATTTCTTTATCCAAAGACTATTAGTAAAACCCAGAAATTTTTTTCTGGCTATATTTGTATTTTTTAAAATTCGTTATAAATAAAAAGCAAGATAAATTGGTCCTTGTACCCTTTTTATTATTTCTGGTGTAACATTATACCTTCCTTAATAAATATTCTTACAGCTTCCTTTCAACTTGCCATCAGTACTGTTTTTAGTTTTTAGAACAGGATCAACCCACTCCTTGGTTATTTGGATTGAGATTGAAATTCATTTGGAGGAATTAAGTGGCAGAAAGTCCATGGGATGGTTACAGAAAAAGGGAAAAGTTGCAGCCATTAGTTGTGTGGTGGCTGAGGCAAGTTGTTGGTTTAGAATAGAAAGTGCATTACTGTACGTCTAATCTGTGCTGGATGTTGCCAATACTGATGCCTGTATTCTATTATTACGGTTTTATGTAACATTCTGTTGCTCAGTACAATCATTTTTTCACCTTGAGCAGCACAAAACCCATCAGAAATTGTGTAAATTTCTTTATTTATGTTGCTGTTCCATATTTTTTCTATTTGAGGTATGACAACTTGGAGTTAATGCTATGGCGTGATGATGGAAGAAGAAACTAGTGACACCGATTTAAATAACGATTCACTTGAGCTGCCAGTTTTCAGCTTTACTGGCCTTCGAAGCCACACAGCCTGTGATGGTGCATTTGGTTTCAAGCACAGAACTCCAGAACATTCAAACTCGGTTGTTATAGAAGGTTCAGACTCTGAAAATTATGACCCTCCACTGGCCAAAACTAGTTGTTCTCAGACAAATCTCAGGCATTCTGTTAAACGCTTGCCTAATGAAGTAGTAACAATTGCAAGTAGTGAGAGTGATGGTGATGAGGATCTTGTTATCCCTCTAGCAGAGAGACTGAAAAGAAAGCTCACTAAAAACCAAAATGTGGAGAAGTTTGACTACTCAGTTTCTAAATCTAGTCAAGAAAATTCCAAACCTAACTCTTTACTCAAGGCATCAATTCCCAGTACCTGTCAAATTAACCGAGATGATTCTGAAATTAAGGAGACTGAAGTTGCTCGGCACAGTAAAGGCCAAGACGCAGAACCTGTGTTTGTTAGACGGAAAGCTTTTCATTCACACTCTACATGGGACATTTCAGACTCGGATGAGGGAGATGAAGCTTGTAAGTGGCAAACAACAACTTCACATATTCCAGATTTAAATTCAGCTCAACTGCATGGTAGGAATGCATGTTCCTCTACAAAAGCAGCATCAAATTCATTCCAACCACACACAAAACTAAAAAGGAATGTAGTAGAAATAGAAAATGCTCGATCAGAGGCACTAAGAAAGCAGCAAGAAAGAGAGCAACGGAAAGCAGAGAAAGAAAATATTCAGCGGCAAAAAGAAGAGGAAAGAGTGATGAGAAAGGAGTTAGCCAACATTGAGAAAATGTTCAGGCCAGGGGAATGTCTGAAACACATGCTAGTCTCCATTGATCCAGGTGAGTGCTTTAAAAACATTTGGAGGTTATGGGAAGGTAATTATTAAGCAGGACTTAACCTTTGCAACAATGGCCAGTTTATACTGTGTAATTATAGTGCAATTACATTTTTAAGTATTGATTGTAGGACAGTTACAGTACAGTACAGAAGATGGCCACTTGGCCCATTTTGTATGTACCATCTTTCCGGAAGAGCAAGTTGCTGCTCGGCAACTTTTTTTTTGTAGCCTGGCATTTTTTGAATGGGTGTAGCTGTATTTTTGCTGCCTCCAGTACACCTTTTCTGTAGCTCTTGGCTACTGTTGGGATCCTGTATGCTTCATGAAAACGTTAGAAACTTGTTCAACATGGAAACACAGTTCAGTCCAAATCGTCCATGCTGATCAGATATCCTGAATAAAACTTTAGCCCCATTTTTCAATACTTGGCCCATATCCCTTTAAAGCCTTCCTGTTCATACACCCATTCACATGCCTTTTAAATGTTGTAATTGTGCTAGCTTCCACCGCTTCCTCTGGGAGCTCATTCCATACACGCACTACCCTCTGTGTGGAAAAAGTTGTCCCTTAGGTCTCTTTTAAATCTTTCCATTCTCGCCTTAAACCTGTGCCCTCTAGTTTTGGACTCCCCCACTCCAGGGAAAAGACCTTGTCTATTCACGCTGTCCATGCCCCTCATGATGTTATAAATCCCTATAATTTGAATTCCATCCAATTCTCATATGGTTGTCCTGAGTAGGTTTTTCTCAACTGCCCACATTGTAAGCTCTAGTTTAGCATGCATGTTTTGGCCTGGATCTATGATGGTGATGATTGAGGCTCCAGTGTTTTTCCTTCATGTCGCTGACAACAAATCTCTCCTGCTGTTACTGCCTGCCATTGGTATGTGTTGGAAGGATTTGCAGGTTTATACTTAACCTGCTTTGCCTTGTCATGAACACACTTTCCTTGGCCATCAAGACTTGGGATGGGATTCAAAGCCAGAACTTCTGGTTCAGAGGCAGGGACACCTATTGCATCACAGGATCTCCTCCTGGCATTTTCTGTTTGCTTCACATAATTATCCAATAGCCTTGTGACAGTCACAGTTGATTTTGATTCCACCACATTCTTGGGCAGTGCATTCTGGAACCTAATCACTTGTTGAGTAAAGAAGTTTTTTCTCCAGTCATCATAGCTTTTGCCAGTCACCTTAAATTGGTGTCCTCTGTCTCTTGATCCTTCTGTCAAATGAGAACTTTTTCTCACTATCTACTTTGTCTGGATTCATGGTCAATTTAATCACCCAATATACATGTTTTCACCTCTGAGCGTGGCTTCTCCAATTATTAGCTGGTTGGTTTCTTGAACTTCTTGTACATCAGTTCCGATTAATTCAAACCTCAGTCACCTGTGTGATGTGAAATGTTCCTTGGCCTCCACTTGTTCCTCAATACAAGTCCTTCAGCCGTTGAATTATTTTCAAAACCTTTGTCCTCATTCATAAGTTCCTCTGTGGACTTGTTTTCCCATACCTTCTCCTCATTGGTTTGTACCCTTTGTCAGTGAACCATTGTGAGTTGAGTGCACCTCTAACCTTGCAACTCCAACTTAATGTTCGTTATTCTCCTTCCACCTCCACTCCCATTTCATCATTGGTGGTTGAGGCATGGTATCATAAAATCTTTGCATGGAATTATATTTCTAACCCACACAGCTTGTTATTGTTTCTCCTTGCATTCAAAAATCTCAATCTATCCATACGTATCTCTTCCCTCATTTTCCCTAAAATTAAAACTGTTGCGTGTCAGTTTTACCTTATCCTCAGTGATCTCTTTGGGACATTTTGCTATATTAGAAATACTGTTGAAATGCAACTACATTTAATGCTTTGAACATAGTTTTTTTATTCGCTGTGAACAGTGGGTTCAGTATGGACATGCCTGCATTCTTGAAGGCTGTCCCAAAATTGTGAGTTGGACATAGACACCTTTTTTGATTTTTGTCCCCATTTATTTTCTGATCTAATTGATACCACACCTACCTCTGGGTCAAAAGGTGAAATCCCTTCCTAGGACTTAAATGTGTAATGTTGGTTGACACATCAATGCTGCAACGACGCAGTACATATTTTTCCCAAAATCCTGAGGAAGCCTTACAGTTGCTGCTGCAAATGTGTGTGTCATGTATCGTCTGTTTTGTTACACAGGGCTGCTTCAGGTAGATGGTGGTGGACAACTGCTGAGCACTCTACAGACCATGGAGGTTAAGTGTGTGATAGAAAATCAGACTATTCCCCACAGTATGACCTGGAAGAGAAGACAGGCTTGTATTGCAGGGCAGCTGATGGTATGTGATATTCTTGTGTTCTTAAGAAAATTGGTTGGGGTTGGAAAAATTGAATTGTTGATACACCCTGCAAGACTGAGGGTTTTGATGGCACTTTCTGCCCCCTCAGGCCGTAAAAGATCGGATGTTACTGATGGAACGGAAAAGTTTTTGCTGTCTCTATGGCCAACATTTTTCCTTCAACCAACATTGTAATCTGAGATCTGAAACAAAAACTAAGATTGCTGGAGAAACTCAGCAAATCTGGCAGTGTCTGTGCTGAGAAAGGATAGTTCACATTTCAATTCCAATGACTGATAGTAGCTAAGAAAAGGTGGTATTTATACTGATGGTAGGGGTTGGGTTTGGTGTGCTGAGCCACCTTCGGTGGGGTGCCACCACTAGATGTGTGTTTCCCCTCTCTTGTCAGCATTTCGCAGGGACTGTTCCCTCTGGTACAGCCTGGTCCACTCCTTCTCCATAGCCCCACAGCACTTTCCCATGCGATTGTAACACTTGCCTGTATAACTCCTCCTTCCTCGCTATCCAAGGCTCCAGGCACACCTTCCAAGTGATGCAACAATTTACCTGCTCTTTATTCAATCTAGTCTACTGTATTCTCTGCTCTGTGTGATCTAATGTGTGCTGAAGGGATGAAATATAGAGTAGGTGACTGCTTTGCATACCAATACGTTTTGTCAATAAGAATTACCCCACACTTCTAGTTGCCCAACACTTCAAAACACCACTCTGCTGTATGGCCAACATTTCTATCTCAGGCCTGCTGCAGTGCTCTAGCGAGGCTATTGATCGCAAGCTGGAAAAACAGCATCTCAACTTCCACTTGGGGACCTTGCAGACTTCAGGACTTAATATCGAGCTCAATCTTAGAGCCTGAACAACATCTTCCATGACCTATACCCACCCTGACCCCTCAGGACCTGTCATGACATGGCTGCTTTCAGCTTGGCCAACCCATTTTCACCTGCACATTGTCTTCATCAGCTTTTCTCTTCTTGTTTACTATCAAGCGTCCTATTTGTCTGCCTAATTTTGTTTTGCTCTCTCTCTCTCTGGGCTCCATCAGCACTTATCTGTTCACTCATTCCTCCCATCTCCTCTTCGCCACCCCCAATCCCCCACCAGCATAAATTCCACCTTTTACTAACTACTGCCAGATCTGAAGAAAGGTCAGTGTACTTGAACGTGAACTGTGCTTTTTCACCACAAATGCTGCCAGACCTGCAGACTTTCCCCAGCAATTTCTGTTTTTGATTATAATATTATCAGATTGCTGTTTGTAGATTTTACTCTCCAACAGTGATTGTACTTCAGAATTACTTTACTGGATGTGTGAAATGCTACTATTTTAGTTTGGTCCTTCATTAATAATGATGTCATGACCTCCCCAATCCAAAAGATGGGGGTTCTTGATTGATGCTCCATTGCTCTTCTTGATTTGTGAAATTAAATTGAGATTCCTTTCCTTTGTATGTTGAAATCAAACAAAAACATGGAGTATCCCAGTCAATGTTCATCCCTCAACAGACATCAGACAAAATCATATTGTGAATCAACTCAAAGGGTATACTGCATTTGAGAGTTATTTATTGTATGTAATAGCCTTTTTGAAACATTAATTAGTCTAATAAGCATGGAATCAATGTGGAATGTGGGACTGGACCGGGGCCAGTCGAAGTAGGAACAGCAAGCTCCCCTTCCCCAAAGATTAATGAGCCAGTTAAGACTAAATGTTTTGCAAAGGAAATTTGAAGATGATGGAACAGTGCCTTATCCTCGTTCACTTTTATTCAAGCTTTCATTTCTATTAGAAATGTTAATAATTATAAGGCTATATATCAGCTGTGATTTGTGAGAAGCATGTTTTCAGATTTCAGATGTGGAATTTGTCCCATTAATATATGGTAGCAATGCTTAGTGTGATTTTGGAGGTATTGTGATCATTACCATATATTGTTTATTGCTTTTATGGGGACTTATGAATATCCCAATTAGAAAGATGAAGCACATGAAATCACATTTGTCTGGTCTTAAGTCTGCCTGCATTGATGTATGGTGGGGAAGAGTTGAGAGGCATGGGCAGCTCTTTCTTACATTACGCCCAACAACCTGAGGTTTCTATGACATGTCAATGTATTTGACAGGGAGGTTTATCTCTAGGTGGTGTTGTGTGGAGAATTGGATTAAGGTCAGGTTTTTCCTCCTTACTACCCACAGACCTATGGGTATCAAAACCAAATAAAATTGGACAGTCTAAGCTAGAAAATAAAAACCAACTCCATCTAGCCAGGGATCAAACATGGAATCTTTCTGGTCTGCAGAGTTGTAAGACCAGAGGTGCAGACAACTCTCAGTGGCTCAAGGACAGTTTCTGGTCTGTATGGCAATCTGAAGAGTAACATGCTGTGGATTGTGCTTGCTCAGTGAAGCAGTGTGCAAGGTATCTTCTCTGTGCCTAGGTTTGAGATGTATTACAAATTTTTGAGACTAGTTCAACTTTGGCTGTCCCCTTGCCAGTCTAGCCTCATAACATCTCTCTCCTTTCCTTCCATCTTGGGAAAGCAAAGCAAAAGAAAAAAATCCACTAAAGAACATTAGCCAAAATTAGGAAACCTCCATCAAGGATTTCTCTCCAGCACTGAAAGGTGATCTGACAAGCCTGAGAATACACTAGCCCATTTATCTGGCCTCTTCCTTCTCCTGTGATTTCATAGTTTCCCAAAAATGTGACTTGAAACCCTCTTGAAGATGTCGGAAGAGGTCAAGCCTCTACACCTAAGGAATGTTGTTTGCCAGGCTGATCACCCTTGGCTTTCTCAATTTGAATGAGTCTAATCCTAGCATCTAAAATCATCCCTTTTCCTGTATGTTGTTGAAGCCTGTCATGATCTTAAAGTAAAAGCTCAATCAGAATCCCTGTTGATCTATACATCACATGTGCTCCAAATCTTTTGTTTAAGCCACTTATTGTAGCCCAGTTGTGGCCAAACAAACAGACAGAGAGCTTGACCGTTTTAGGGAACAGTCAGGCCACATTCAATTGTTTGTCCTTTCTTTCCAGACCTGCTGATACTTTATCTAATTAATTTTCTAGGTAGAGATGATCTTGGTAGATTACTTCACATTTTAACTACTGTCAAGTGTATTTCCAGTCTTGAATCAATTTATCCTGTATCTCCAGGTGCTGTTTTAATCCTTTTTTTCCTTAAGATCCTGAGCAGCACAATATTGTCTAATCTAAAAATTGTATAACTGTTATCTCAAGCAGATATGAACACCAGGTCGAACCCAGTGCATATTCCTGTGGGGTCTCACTCAGTGTCAGGTCCTGTTGGGAGAAGTTCCAATTAAAGCATCCTTTGCATAAACTCCTTCATAATTTATGATCCATCTTTCAACTTCTGAACATGTATAAGGTACTAGTTAGACCTCAGATGGATGATCCGAAGAATGCAAATGTATTGGCAAGAATGCAGAAAAAGTTTACAAGAATAATTCCGGGGTGAGACTCCTCAGATATAAGGAAAGGTTGGAGAAATTGTGACTGCTTTCCTTGGAGACAAGTAGGCTAAGAGGAGATTAGAAAGAAGTATTCAAAATCACAGGTTGTCTGGATGGAATGAATAGGAAGAAGACATTCCCACTTATATACAGGTTTAAAACCAGGGGGCACAGTTTTATAGTATTTTACAAAAAAAACTAACTTCTTGCTGTACGTAATCAGCTACCTTGCCTGAAAGTGCAATGGAGGTGGGTTTTTAGGCATTCAAGAGGGCATTGGATGATTATTTGGAGAGAAATGGTTTTCGGAGACATGGGAAAAGGATATTAACAGTAGGTGAAAATGTTCGGAGAGCTATTGTAGATACAATAGATTGAATGATCTCTTTCTAAATTGCAGTAATTTTGTGATTCTGTGATTTACCTTCTGAGGGCGGCACGGTGGCTCAGTGGTTAGCACTGCTGCCTCACAGTGCTAGGAATTCAGGTTCAGTTCCACCCTTGGGTGACTATCTGTGTGGAGTTCACACATTTTCCCCGTGTCTGTGTGGGTTTCCTCCCACAGTCCAAAGATGTGCGGGCTAGGTGGATGGGCCATGCTAAATTGCCCATTGTGTTCAGGGATGTGTCGATTAGGTGGGTTATAGGGGGATGTGTCTGGGTGGGATGCTCTGAGGGTCGGTGTGAACCTGTTGGGCTGAAGGGCCTGTTTCCACACTGTAGGGATTCTATGATCTATGATCTACTCAATCATACGTTGTTTTGCAGAAATTTTGTCATCTAAAATAAAACAAGGATTCAATCTGCAGGCTTAGTGGCCACCACTACTAACTTAGATGCTATCAAGTTTCACATGGATGTTCAATGAGCTTGGATTCTTGCCTGTCTCTTTTTATTATTACTTTTGTTGTCAGTCTGAAATTTTCTTCTTCAGTCCTGCCGACACCTCTGTTTTGACTCCTCAGTTCTCCATTCCAACTTTTTCTTTTAACCTAACCCCATTTTTCCCGAAAGATGAGATCTAGTAGATTCTTTATTCCATGTCTTTACATTTACAATCTTCAAACTTTTAAACTTAGATTATTTTGTGCTTCTCTTCTATTCTTTTGAACTTAACCATTAGCTTGTCCTATGGCTTCAGCACTTTAGCTTGATTTTTTGATAGTGAAAAATTAAAACCTCATTTGAATGGTTGGAATGTATGTGTAAAGGCAAAATAAAGTGGATTCTGAAAGTCTGAACCAAACACAGAATGCTGGAAAAACTCAACAGGTTTGGCAGCATTAATGGAGAGAGGAAGCACAGTTGCATTTTGAATCTATAAGGTGTAGAGCCGGTTGAACACAGCAGGCCAGGCAGCATCAGAGGAGCAGGAAAGCTGACGTTTCGGGTCTGGACCCTTCTTCAGAAATGGTGGAGGGGAAGGCGACTCTGAAATAATGTGGTATATTGTATCCGCTGTTCCCGATGTGGCCTCCTCTACATTGGGGAAACCAAGCGGAGGCTTGGAGACCGCTTTGTGGAACACCTATGCTTGGTTTGTGACAAACGACTGCACCTCCCAGTCGCGAACCACTTCAACTCCCCCTCCCACTCCTTGGACGACATGTCCATCTTGGGCCTCCTCTAGTGCCACAATGATGCTACTTGAAGATTGCAGGAACAGCACCTCATATTTCGCTTGGGAACTCTGCAGTCCCATGGTCTCAATGTGGGCTTCACAACCTTCAAAATTTCCCAACCCCCGACCTCGTCACAAAACCAACCCAGCTTGTCCCTGCCTCCTTGACCTGTCCATCGTTTCTCCCATTTACCTGCTCCTCCCACCCCACTGACCATCCCCTACCCCCACCTCCTACCTACCACCTTCATCGCCGCCTCCTTGACCTGTCCGTCTTCCCTTGACTGACCAACCCCCATTCTAACTCCCCACCTGCTCACCTTTACTGGCTCCATCCCCGCCTCCTTGACCTGTCCGTCTCCTCTCCATCTCTCTGCTCCTTTATCCACCTTCCATCTGCCTCCCTGCCTCAACTATTTATTTCAGAGCCCCCTTCCCCTCCCCCATTTCTGAAGAAGGGTCCAGAACCGAAACATCAGCTTTCCTGCTCCTGTGATGCTGCCTGGCCTGCTGTGTTCATGCAGCTCTACACCATGTTCTCTCCGATTCTTCAGCATTGGCAGTTCCTACTATCTCTGCATTTTGAATCAAGTATGTCTCTTCAATAGCATGCGTATAGCCTCTGTTTTGCTACTGTATTGTTGTAGCCTGTTCAACAAGACTATTACATGTTGTAACTTTTATTCTTTGTGAGTAAAATGTCTTCTGGAAACTTAACAGAATGAAAAGACCGACTGGGTGGAGGAGCTTCACGTTTTGATCTATATTCCACTAGAGGAGTTCGTATCTATGGTTTACAACTCTAAACAGGTAACATTGCAAATTAAAAATGTACAAATTTTCTTCTTTGTGTTTCAGCCCTCTGACACCTGGTTTGACTAAACATGTCCCATAGTAAAATTGCTGGTGGTTTTCCAAAATTCATTATTTTAATAATTAAAATAAGTTTCCTAGTAACTTTTGCCTTAAACAGAAGTAGCCTCAAAATAAATTATTTATCTCACTTACTTAAAATTTAAAATCATGCCTAGTTATACCTGGTCTTTATTCACTAGTATCACCTGCAATTTCCTGCTAGAAGGACTAGTAGAAACTATCGAGACAGCTGATCTTTGATTAAATGTCAGGTGTCTCAAAGACCCAGAAGGAGAGGAAAAGAACACAATCTGCTTCTCTCACTCAGGTCATATCTTATAACTTCTGGTAAAGAATACATATGTGAGCACTGAATGAAGATTGGGTTAGGCTGTAATGCCCTGTTTGGATGTGTGGCCTGTTGACACTTTCTGGCTGGGATCACAGCTGAAGAAAGGCCATTTGGGTGGTATACGAGCAGTCCTGATGGAAGCATAATGTCACTTGAGTCAATGAGAAAAGAAGCCTTTCACAACAGTAGCAAGTTCAGATTTCAGTCCTTCGGAAGGAGAATTTCTAATTTATGTTCAGTCCTACTCTGATTGTAGCTTTAAAAAAATCAAAACGCACTTTGAAACAAAATGTGAAGAATTACTGAATCTATAGTCCAAAATACTAATCTAATCTCAGATTAAATAAAAGCAGAATTTGATTAGAAGAACAATAACCCATCATACACTATAGCCAGTGCGACAGTTTTTGCTTTCAGGTAGATAACATGCCATAAAAGACCATAAAATTACTGTAATAAAACGTGACTAGTGGCCCTTTATTGAAATTCTAGCCTGGTAATGAAGGAAAGAACACTGAAACCTTAACTTTGTACACTTTCAGATGCAATGTTAAACCAAGATCTCATCTATCCTCTGAGGTGGAAAGAAAATATCTCTGTGTGATTTGATGGAATAACAAGGAGGTTTTCCCCAGCTAATATTTATCCATCAATTTACATCATAAAAACAGATCATTTGTTCTTTATGACACTGTTGTTTGAGAGAGTGTGGCATGTGCAAATAGGCTGTAATATTACTGAAATCACAACAGTAACTCCCCAGAGTCACTTCACTTGCATTAGGAAGATCTATGGTTATGAAAGGCATGTCATCCTCAAACTTTTTATCTTTATTGATGCACTCTATATGTTGTTTATCTCCAATGTAAAAATGCATTATTTGCTTGTACTGTATTTCTGTGTAATATATAAATTATGCACAGATAAGTCTCCCAAGTGAATTCTACCACCTGAATACAATTAAGCTGTTAACTGATAAACAATTAACCGACCTGATAAATGTTCACCTAATCATTTTAACTTTCACACTTCCCTATAATTTCCAATCTAGGAGGTACAAGGTGCTTCTACTGAAGGCCATACAACATTACAGAGCTTTGCTCATGATATTCTTCAGAAAAGTGCAAGTAGGATTCCATGTTTTGTTGTTGTGGAGTTGGAAAGATATTTCAGGTGAGAACTGCACTGAATTTTATTCTGTTGTGCTATCTTGGGTACTGTTTATCTTACTAGCCTACAGTAGATGTTTGTGCTACAGCTCAGTGCCATCTGCTCGAATTGAAGACATTGACTGTATTTGTGAGGAATAGAACTATACAGTTAGTATGGCTAGTGGGGATTTAAAAATTATTTCAAGAGAATCAGAAGATATTCTGAGATCTGCTCCCTTCTACTAACCTATGAATGACTGACTTCAAAACCTGCAAGCTCATCTGCACTGGAGTACAGGAACTGTGGTAAAGCCAAAACCCATCGAATGCTGCCACGGCTCTGCACTTGTGCATTAACAGTAGCTGAGCCAGGACTTTACAATTCCAAATACGAACACATTATTTACCTTGTACATTAAGTATAAGTGTTGTAATCCAGTAATAATTGCTCTAGAAAAAGGAGGTAATATCTGATTCAAATACTTTTTTTAGAAGAGAATTCAATCATTATTGAAGAGAAATTTTGCAGGGTTTCAGGATAAAGGGGTGGTGAGTGACACTAGGTGGATTGCTTTTGCAGAGTCCGCATAATCACTGGACCAAATGTCCATCTCCTGTGCTGAAACTTATTCTGTTGTAACACTAGAAGATATCAGCAGGACAGTGACTAAAACCTGATCATTGGCCTCAGCAACTCTAGGCTAGGAAGAAGCAAAACTACTAATGATTATTCATTGATCTCTCGTGGGTTATGTATATGTCTGTAAACTTGTGAAGGTACTGTACTATTCTGACTATGTGATTGAATAGTGTGTTAATTCTCAGGCATACCTGTTAGGAGGCTGCTAGGTAGAACAATACAAACAGGAACTCAAAAATAAAGATATTTATCCTTGCTTTTTGCAGGCCACAGAAGAAGCAAAGGTCACAGAAGAAGCACCAGCATACAGTGCCAAATGAAGAACAAGACAAACAGAGAAAGGCAAAGGGCTGTGACCATCATCTGCCTTTAATATCACGAGCAGATGTAGAATTAGTGAGTCTTCATTGGCTTTAATGAGACAGTGCTCCTTTGTTTTTACAAAGTATCTATGTAGCAGCACAGCAAAGATTACATAACTATATCGTCAAGAAAAGGATTATGGCTGTTGATAAATAGGAAATTCAAGGAACAGTTGTAGATTGGGCACTATCAGTGGCAAGCACAGGAGATTTGGATATTCACTCTTCATCTTGAACTTTAACTTCTCCTATTACCTCCACAATGATGGTACCTGATTTACTCAGCGTTTCCAGTATCTTTGTTTTGCAGTGACCTTTTGGTTATGCAGAAAAATGCAAAAAAGGAACAGGAGTTGGTCGTTTGGCTCACTGAGCCCACACTACTATTTAGTATGATGGCTGATCCTTTATCTCAACACCATTCTCACTCTTTCCCCATACCCTTTGATACCTTTAGCGTCCAGTTATTTAGCTTTTTTTTTTCTTTATTATGCTCAGTGAGTTGACATCCAGAGCCACCACCTGTGGCAGAGAGAATTCCACAGGTTTACCACTGTCTTTCAGTGGAGAAATCTCTCCTGTCATATTGCCACCAAGTCCATCTACTTTAATTTTGCATGCTAACCTCTTATGTGGGACTTTACTGAAGATCCAAATACTTCACGTCCACTAGTTCTCTCATCTATTCTACTAGTTACATCATCCAAAACTCTACTGTGTTTTCAAATGTGATCCTTTCATAAATCAGTGTTGACTTTGTATAATCCTGTGAGAATGTTCAGTGTCCTGTTATTACATATTTTTAATTATATATTTATTTTTCTTCAGTACCTCACATGTTATGAGAACTATTGGTTGGCTGTTTTAACCATGGAATGCATCTTTGCTCAGCCTGGTTTTGTCCTTTTGGATGCTTTGCTATATTAAAACTTCTGTATAATCTAGGCTCCAATTTGATAACAGTTGTAGTGTCCATACTTGCTGAGATTAGCTACCTCACTAGAGACCAGTGAATGTCTGTTCCTTTTAAAACTAAACTCAAGCAGAGTCAAGTTAATTTTCAACTGGGTCAGGAGAAGATATGGTTTTTGGTTATTAGTTTTTTTTTCTGAAGTCACATAGCCTACTAATTATTGGTTAAGACAAGTTGTCCAAAAGATTTCAATGAAAGAATCAAGTGTAGTATTTCCAAGTTTGTTGACAACAGCAAATTAGATGGGATAGTGAGTGGTGAAGAGGATGAAGAGAAGCTTCAGGGCAATTCGAATAAGTTGGATGAGTGAGCAAATGTGTGGGAGCTGTCATGTAACATGGATAAGTGTGAAGTTGTCCACTTCAGTAGGAAGAACAGAATGGCAGAGTATAATTTAAATGGCGCTTTTCACCTGAAATAAAGAACTTCAGGAGAGTAGAAAAAATACGTTTGAAAGCATTTCACTTCTTTATCATTTTGCCTGATTTAAAATAATTTCTGTGCAGAGTCTTATTCATTTTCTTTCTTCTCTCAGGCCCTAGTGCACTTGCAGCTGTCTGTCGGCACTCAGTTCCAATTATTGGAGACTTGGAAGGAGTTTGCAGATTATATCAGCATGTTCACCAAAGCTGTAGCCGAGGCCCCTTTCAAGTAGGTTTGAGCTTAACCAGAACTTCAAACAGCAACAAAACTCATTTTTGTATTCCTTGAAATTAGCTGAGCAATGCCATTTCAATTCTTAGTGAGTACAAACAGGCAGCACATTAAACTTCCCTCCTTAGAGCCTTGGTTGACAATCCTCTCCAAGTAACTGAGTAGGTAGTGGCTTCCATCCTGAAGCACTATGAGGTTGTGGAGTGACGGACGTTGTCTTGATTGAGATGCTTATATCATAGTATAGTTTCCTAATGTTAATATAGAATGTGATAGTAAAGTGCTTCCTGCAGTCTTGGACAGTGCCATATAGTCATAGTTGTGAGGGCCAAAAGGAAAAAAGGTCCACAGCAGGACTCGTGATATTTGCTTTGTAGCATTGACTGTCTGAGTTTTTCTAGTTTGCCGAGTGCCACAAATAACTTATTGAAACTTTCTCGAAAAGCAAAAGCAGTGGCTATGATCAATTATCTAACTATGGGACACATTAGATGAATGTATTACTAGGGATATTGGCCAAAATCTTTCAGTTTCTCAATCATCAGAGATGGGATGCACTTTGGGAGATATACATCAGCAGTCTGAAATTCCCGTGATGCTAAGGATACATGGAAATTGCCCAGGGCGTTTAAACCTTCAATAAACTAATTTCTGCTCTGCCAGCGTCTTTGGACCTGAACTTTGAACTTCGTTCAGATTCACAGGACTTCCCAAAGTCCCCAACCTCACAACCCTGCACCCTGCAGCCCCTAAAGTGAATGTCCCTCTGATGTGAATGTAACTAACGATTGTTTAGATTTAGTTTCAGTGATTTTGTTTTTAATACACCACAGCTGAATCCCTCTACTTTATAAGGAATCATTGCCAATGAGATCATTGATCTCAATGGGTGATCCTAGTGGCTCTTGGTCAGAATTGCAAAGTGTGATTATTTTTATAAAGATTATATTGTTTGCTGTAATGTTGTTTGTGACAGCATTTGTATAGAATTTACTGAACAGACACTGATGAAATGTTTGCTGTTTCTGCCAGGAAAGCTCGGGAGAACAACGGATTATCTGTGTACTTGGCGAATGATGGTTCCAGAGGGGTAAAAGTGGATTGTTCAGTGAATGGTCTCCTGTGTGTTTGGAAGAAACAGATCCAGCAATTAAACAGAGTTAGCTCTGAGATGGCAAATGCTATTGTGTCAGTCTATCAGTCACCATGGTCACTTAAACAGGTACAAGTTGCCATGATTGTAATAACAGTAATGTAAGTAAAATTTTATGGCAAATGGTTGGGAGGTAGAAGATGAGATGTAAGGATAAGATGTGTGTATTGTGACAAGTGGAGTTTGCCCTTGATTTCTACTGAAGCCTCACTCAGCTTTTCACTGGAGCTGAGATCACTGCTGTACATTTGAAAAACTTGTGGTCACCCAACAACTTAAGGGTGGACAGACAGGGCGAATGAGTGATCACTAGACAGTCAAGCAATTGACAACAAGGATAAGAAATTTCACCTTATGGTGGATTTCTGAATTTGAGATAAAGGAATTTTGCTTTGTTTTTCTGGTCTCTTCCACACCATGATTACCATTGGCTTCAATGTGGCCAAACCCAGGAGAAAGTCTGTCTGGAAAATCTCCACCAATAATGAGGGCTGGAGCAGGTCTTGAGGGAGCTACCAGTCAGTCTCTCACCTAGCTCTTCCCACAATGTGGGGCCCATATTTTTCATTTATGTCTTTCAAATAGTTGTGAGGGAAAGTCTCGCATCTGGAGCATGAGACCTGCCAGTTTCTTTTGGAACTTTGTTGTGTAGATATTTTCTTATCAACCTGTTTAGAGATTACACACTTCAGGTGGGACCTTGAACTCAAGCCATCTTGGTCCAGAGGTAGGGAACTACCACTGCACCACAGCCTTGGTAGATTCTGTTTCTGAATGATTGTTCTGACTGTTAAGCTTGTTATAACAGCCAAACTCTCCTGCACATTGAATAAGTTGCTATTTACTATTCAGCATTTAACACTCCATATTAGTAGCAAGATTTTCAGAATGTGTGACATCGCTGTTCACCAGCTCCTACAATCAACTGTGAGATCTGCCAGTGCTAGTAGTTGATACTATATTATTTGATTTGTTTTCATATCTCTCTCTGTTTATCCTCGTTTTTTTGCTCTTCCAATTCGCTACATTAAATGCTATTTGGTAGCCTCGAATTATTCTAGCAAATGACGTAGCCTGAGCTGTATAACCATGCTTTATTGGCATTATCTTGATGCATATAGCTTGAGTACATTTTTGATGCATTCCATATTGGTTTGTCTTGCTTTACTACACAAATGTTAACAAGATTCACAAAGAGAGCATATTGTGGAATAGTACTGAAGAATTGTGCTCCAGAATTAGCAGCGCCTCTAACCAAACTTGCTCTAAAGCTATTACATTGGCATCTACTAAGCAATGTGAAAAATTGCCCTGCTTTGTCCTATTCAGACAAGTGCAACCTGGCCATTACCACACCATCAGTGTCCTCTCGTTCATCAGAGAGGTGTTGTCAGTTGTGCTATCAAGCAGCACTACCTGCTCAGAGTGTGACAACTCTTGACATCAAGGCAGCATTTGATCAAGTGTCGTGTTAAAGACTCGGAGCAAACTTGAATGAGTGAGAATCAGTGAGGGGAGTTTCCACTGGTTGGAGTCATATCAAGCACAAAGGAAGATTGTTGTCGTTATTGGAAACCAGTCATTCCAGTCCCTGGGACATTACTGCAGGAGTTACTCAGGATATTGCCTTAGCCTGATCAACTTTCAATTGCACCATCTCACCTCCATCATAAGATCCAAAGTGTGGATATTCACTATGCAAATGTTCAACATCATTTGCACTCTGCTAAATTTTGAAGCTGTCTGTATTCATATGCATCAAGACTTAGATAAGATTGGTTCACTCAGACAAATGCCGGGCAATGACCATCTGCAACAAGAGATAATCTGTTTCTCATTGACTTTCCACAGCATTACCATCGTTGACATACCCCACTATCAACGTTCTGGGGGTTAGCATTGACCAGAAACTAAACTGGACTAGCCATATAGATTCATTTGCTACAAGAGCAAGTGATATGTAGTATATATGTGATAACCTGTTTCTTTTGCCTGTCTTTGAGTAACTCCCCTCTTGACTTCTAAAACCTGTCCAAAACCCACAAGGCACAAGTGTGAAGGAATACTCTCCGCTTTGTAAGAGGCTTTTTTTTTTATTTGGAGCTATACACTAAAATGGAAATTGAACTGATATAGCTTAAAAATATACAGAAAAGTTTTGCAACTTGAAAATCAGATGATGCATATTATTCAGCTGTACATGTGCAATTTTGCTTTTTAGAAACAAATAGAGTAAGAATCTGAGACCAAATGGCATCAAGCATCTTTCTAGTTAAGGAAATTCTGCATGGCAACAGTCCTCTGGTTGAGCTACAGAGTATTAAGAAGCTATGACTGCTAAGAGTGAACAATATCCAGAGGCTGCAGGGAGAAAGCATATCCCTCCCTCTCGCTCGCTCGCTCTTGCTCTTTTCCCCTCTGGGAAGAAAACTTAGAAAAGCCAGGAAAGCTTAACACAAAGTATTCAAACAAGAAAAGACTTAGATTCACCTGAGCAACCATCGAATCAAAGGACGACCATCACCTTTCACATTGCAGCGTATCATCACTGCAAAAATCAAATGATTGAGAGAAAAAGATTTTCCACCTTGCCTAGACTAAATATCTTCTGAATTTTGTTTATCCTGTCTATATTATTTTTCCATTTATAGTATATATGTGATAACCTGTTTGTCTTTTGTCTGTCTTAATTGTGTGCATGCATTTGAGGTTTTTGAAGGGGTATAGTTTAAATAGCATGAAGTAAAAATTATTTCTTTTCCCTGTTGTTAAATTTAAGTATTTTACAATAGCTATTTTTGCTGTTGCTGAAGCAAGCTTGTGTGAATTGCTTTTATCCTGGGTAGCAGCCAATCAGGCAGGCAGATTTGAAAGTTTCATTGGGATTTTATACATTTGTGCATTTGGGGCAACTTGTGGAACATTAGGGCATGATTATCATGCATTTTTTCCAGGGAAGTTCTCATGACTTAACTGGATGAGTGAGGCTTAAAGAATACTGAAAACACAAAACTGTTCATAACAAAGCCAACTTGCAAAGTACCACATCCACCATCTTCAACTTTCACTCTTTCCACCACCAATGCACAATCTGCAAGTTGCACTTCCTTATTAGGACTCATTTGGCAGTAGCTTCCAAACTTGTACCAGAAGGGCAAACACAGCAGATGCATTGGAACACCAGCTGCAAGTTCCCCTTCAAGGCACACACCATCCTGAATTGGTATTAAATTGACATTCTTTCAGTTTTACTGAGACAAAATCCTGTATCTTCCTTTCTTAATGACAGCACTGTGAATGTACCTGCAAGACATGAACTGATGAGATGCAAGAATATGGCTCACTTTCACAAGGGCATTTAGGGATGGGCAATAAATGCTTAGTCAGTGACTGCCTTTTTTTTATTGAAAGGCAGCAATCCAGGCAACAGAGCAGTTGCTTTTGATTTTTCTAAAATTTCTTTCTAGCTTCCAGGTAATTAACATAAGAACTAGGAGCAGGAGTAGGCCGTCCGGCCCTTCGAGCCTGCTCCGCCATTCAGTAAGATCATGGCTGATCTTTTCGTGGACTCAGATCCACTTACCCGCGTTCTCACCGTATCCCTTAATTCCTTTATTGTTCAAAAAAAATCTGCCTTATCTTTAAAAACGTTTACTGAAGTAGCGTCAACTACTTCACTGGGCAAGGCATTCCATAGATTAACAACCCTCTGGGTGAAGAAGTTCCTTCTCAATTCAGTCCTAAATCTGCTCCCTCTAATCTTGAGGCCAAGCCCTCTTGTCCTAGCTTCACCTGCCAGTGGAAACATCCTCTCTACTTCTATCTCATCTATTCCCTTCATAATTTTATATGTTTCTATAAGATCCCCCCTCAATCTTCTGAATTCCAATGAATATGATCCCAATCTACTCCGTCTCTCCTCATAAGCCAACCCCCTCAAGTCCGGAATCAACCTAGTGAACCTCCTTTGCACCCCCTCCAGTGCCAGTACATCCTTTCTCAAGTAAGGAGACCAAAACTGCACACAGTACTCCAGGTGTGGCAAATTAAGTGTGAATCCAATATTTTTTAAAATCACCAATTATCTATGCATCCCACTGGCAACACTTCTATTCCCAGCAGCATGTTTCACATAGTATTTAATCATTTGTCTGATTGACCATTTCCACACTTTATCAAAAATGTTAATCGACAAAAGCTTTGTAAGAAAAGGCAGTTACTAATTTTGTTGTATATTCTGTGATTCCTGTTGTTGACACACTGATATTTATGTTGTTGATGTCTTGAGTTTTCAAAGATCTAAATTGTGCCATCTGCTTTTCTGCAGTGTTAAGGAAACTTCAGTTCTGGCATTTATATTAAAAGTGTGTTATTGGTTATTGTTGTTCAGAACTAATTCAAGATAAGAGGAAAACTGCATTTCAGTGTATGTTTTTCTGTATTGAGGGCATAGATGGAAATTTAACTTGAGTGATGTGACAGTTTTGGGTGATTTCCTTTATACTTAGAACCTGCTCAAAGACAACCAAGCCAGTTGGTTGTTTTATGAATAAGCTTTCATGGTCATGTTGTGTTGTTAGTATGGAACTTTTTTTTACATGCACTAACTGTATTAAATGCTGAAATGTCTTGGAACTGAGGTGATTTTAACATATACATTGGTCCACGGTTTTTATAAAAAGTTGAACAAGGGTAAAATCAATGTTTCTACCCATTTAAGGCATTATAATTCCACCTATTCCTTTCACAAAATATATTCAGACCTTAGACCATAAGAAACAGGAACGTGGGTAACCTGTCTAACTCCCTTGAGTCGGCTTTGCAATTCAGTAGGGTCATAACTGATCTGACATTCGTTACTTTCATTATGGACCATTTTGTCTTTGGCTGCTCTCATTCCTGAGGCTTGTAATGCAGGAGTTCCCTGAGTGCATCTCAGTCAGTTTGAAAAACACTGGGGTTTATATCTTTTGGGGGTTCACCAGTAAGTTGCTAAATGTTAGTGAAGGGAGGGAATTGGACGTGGGGCAAGAGAAGGATTCTGAAAGCAATAGTGAGAGGGATTCTGGAGTTGTCTAGTCAGGCAAGAGAGATTACATTCAGAGTGAGACACAGCCCGAGTGAGCATATAGTTTGAAGAATTTGGAGGCAACGTGTGAATTTGGTGCAGAGGGGAAGAGGTGTTTTTTACTTTTTTTGGCTCATAATTTGTAAGGTTTTTAACAGGATAGATTGAAGCACAGTGTCAGGAGCCCAGCAGAGAAGAGTGACATCACACATAAACCATAAGCTCATTAGTGATACCTACTAATTTGACTATCTATTATAGATTACTCTCAGCTTGCAGGTAAATAGGGGAAATATTTACAGGCCATGAGCTTAAAAAATGATTTTTTAAAATGAAATGAAAAACTAAGTAGTTAAAATTGTCTGCCCCAGCATCTCTCTGTTGTAACTGCATGATGTGGGAGTTGGTGTACACCATTGTGTTTCATAGTGACCATATCTGTAGCAAGTGTTGATTGCATGATGAACTTGGGCTCAGAGTTGATGAGTTAGAGTCTGAACTCCGAACACCGTGACAGATCTGGGAGGGGGAAAGTTGTCTTGTTGCTGTGTTTCAGGAGGCAGTCACACTACTTAGATTTAACCACTCAAATTCAGTCAGTGGTCAGGGACAGGAGGGTGTGACTACCAGTGAGACAGGTAGAGGGATCCAGAAGTAGTGCCAAAGAGCCTCAGCCCTTGAGCTTGTCCTACAGATTTGAGATTCTTTCTCCCTATGTGTATGAGAGTAGGGCTGTAGGGAGGATGAAAAAACTGGCAATAACACAAGGGAGCCATTCAAGTGTGGGGAGAAAAGAGGGACAGGATTTACATGTATTTGGAAAGGCTAGGACTGACTAGGGGTAGTCAACATGGCTTTGTGGTGGGAAATCATATCTCAATAACTTGATTGAGTTTTTTGAAGAAGTGATGAAGAGGATTGATGAGAGCAGAGCAGTGGACGTGATCTATATGGAATTCAGTAAGGCTTTTGACAAAATTCCTTGTGGTAGACTGGTTAGCAAGGTTAGATCACACTGAATAGGTGGATACAGAATCGGCTCGAAGATAAAAGATAAGAGGGTGGTGGTGAAGCGTTGCTTTTCAAACTGGAGGCCTGTGACCAGCAGTGTGCCACAAGGATCAGTGCTAGGTCCACTGCTTTTCATCATTTATATAAATGATTTGGATGTGAACATAAGAGGTATGCTTAGTAAGTGTGCAGACAACACCAAAGTTGGAAGTGTAGTGGACAGCTAAGAAGATCACCTCAGTACAGTGGGATCTTGGATCACATGGGTCAATGGCCAAGGAGTGGCAGATGGAGTTTAATTTGGATAAATGTGAGGTGTTGCATTTTGGAAAGGCAAATCAGGGCAGGACTTGTACATTTAATGGTAAGGTCCTGGGCAGTGTTGCTGAACAAAGAGACCTCGGAGTGCAGGTTCATTGTTCCTTGAAAGTGGAGTCATGGGTAGATAGGATAGTGAAGAAGACATTTGGTAGGCTCACTTTTATTGGTCAGTACATTGAGTATAGGAGTTGGCTGGTCCTGTTGTGGCTGTGCAGGACATTGGTGAGGCCAGTTTTGGAATTTTGGTCTCCCTGCTATAGGAAGGGTGTTGTGAAACTTGAAAGTGTTCAGAAAAGATTTACATGGATGTAGCCATAGTTGGAGCGTTTGAGCTAGAGGGAGAAGCTGAATATACTGGGGCTTATTTTCCCTGGCACGTCAGAGGCTGAGGAGTGACCAGCCTCATACTCTACTCGTAGCACTGTTATTCAGTGACAGAACTGTAAATCAACCCAAATACTGTACAACTTTAAATGTTAACTCCAGATGCAAACTGTTTAGAAGAATTCTAAATTTAATTAACTTGTTTTTAACTAAATTGCACTTCCACAAATTTCGCAGTTCAAGAGGCCACTGTGAGAATTCTATATCATTGTTCATTCGCTATGAAATGCTTTTAAGATATTTCTAGGAGTGACGATCAAAGATGCCATGGTATATTAGTTTCTTCTGTTATATGTTAATATTTGTATATTTTACCATGGAATGCAGTAGGGGAACCATATTTTTGTAGTTGATTCTTTTATGTGTTGTATATGGGTGAAATATTGATGCATTATACTTACTGGTTTAAAGATCAATTGTTTTCTCTCTGGTTAGGCATATCGAATGTGCAGTTCGGAGCGAGAGAAGGAGAATCTGCTTGCTAATATTCCCGTTCGACGTGGAGAAGGAACAACATCAACAACGCGAAGGATTGGGCCTGAGCTCTCAAAACGAATCTATTTGTTGATGACTTCAATGGAATCTGAAACTTTTCTTGAATAACAGTGACAAATCGCCAGCGCCTGTTGCAGAAGTGTCTGAAACCATTTAGCTTTTTGATTCCTTTCCATGGAATGTTGTCATCATCAAATGGCAGGCCAAAGGTCTTAAGAGATTTTTAGTTTCACACTAGGAGGGTTGTATAGAAATCAGTTACCACATTTTAAGTTATTACCATAGCTGTAGTAGTCTCAGTACACTAACGGCTGATGTACAATTCTTCATTGGTTTAGTTTTATTGGAGAATTGTAGTTCTCCTACACTATGTTTTGAGTTATGAAAACATTTACCTCCATCACTCTCAATCAGCACGTGGACTGGTTAATAAGACTTGCTTTTTTTTTGTTATTTTTGCTACTTGTTCCTTGATGAGAAGGCAGGTGAAGCATTTCCTTCTTGGGGTCCTCACCAAGGCTGCCACAAAACTAGGCAATGGGAGAGATAGAACAGTGCACTTCCTCACTTTTGGGGCCTCACATTAAATTCTGTGCTCACCTGAGCTGCTTGAACTCCTGAAAAATGGCTGGTTCTTCGACCTAGCTCATGGGTTAGTCCATGTCCATGTCCAGGGTATTCACTCACTGCCCTTGCATCTTATGAGTGCTATGTTCCCAGTGAAAGACACTGCAGGCATTTACCAGGGATATGAAACCACTTGTCATCTGCTTGATCTTATGCTGCTCAGATTCACCATCTACGTGAAGCTGAAAATTACTGGTACTCTCGTCAGTCCTTGAGAGGACGTGATGCTACCTGCCACTGCTTCTGCTGTCTCCTCTTGTTACGTATCTGTGAAATGCTGACCAGATTGTTGTACAAGTAGAATAGATGGCACAGAATGTATCAGTGTTAGCGGAGGAAGTGCAAGATGAATAAAATGCTGTAGTGGCTGCCTGATGGAGTTGCATCCGAGCTTTCACGTGTGCTTGGCTTCATGTTTGTGGATCTGACGGAGACAAGGTATTAAAATAAAACACTAAATCCTCCAACCAAGGTCTCTTGCTTCCACACCTTAGCAAGCAGCATTAAAGGCATACGATGGGTAAGGACTGTTAGGCACAACTAAATCTTTATTCCCTTTCCATACCCTCTGGAACGGTATTACCATCAGCAACAGGCTCTTCTCCCATTGGTGTCACAATGATAATAGTAACTCCAGCTCTGGGTCTATTCGGACTATCAGACCTATTGAGCACGTTTCTGCAAATATGAGTATAGTTAATGCGAGTACTGTCTCCTGATGTCTATGGCAAGTCACTCTATAAATTAGTAAACCTGCAGCACCATGTTGCTCTAATGGTATGATGAAGCAGCTATTCTGCCATCTTGGAGCATCAGCGCAGCACCTCCCTACCGAAAACTTGGCTTTCAGGTGCCTGATAACTGGATGCCTCATTGTTAACATCACCTGGTGCTGCCCCAAGCATGGATCTACCACCTAGCCTCATCGCTTAACACTGTGCTTTCAGTCGCCAATTATTGATGCTACACAATTTTCCAGACTCTGCAGGCCTTTACATTTCCCTGTACTGGATTCATGTTCTGGCTGCAGGCAGGGGAAGTTCTGCTGCTTGCCCAGGTTTGCTGATGACATGTTTCCATCTGGATTTCAGTCTTCCACAGTTCAGTTCTGACCTGTATTTAGGAGTGGGTAAGACTGTTTAGGAACAAAAACTTTGAACAAGTAGTATAGTCATTACATCTGGCAGCTTTTCACAAGGAAATATTTCTCAAAATTCACAAACTATAGATGAGGTGTGAAATCTAAACACAAAAATAGGTTTAATATGCCACATTGTTGGATTTGTTTATGGATTGGGTAATATAGTCAATATCCTTTGTTTTAATATTGGATTAGGACAGTATCTAAACTACCAAGATGGTTGAGGACATATGACGGAGAAGAGAGCTTGGGTTTACTGCTCCTTCGAACTCTGCCTTACAGGAACAGTGTAGATTGCATAACATCCCCCTCCCATCCCTAATTTCCTTCAGCAACCTCTTAGTTACTCCAGCTCCTTAGCCCTCCTTCTGCCTTGCATCTTCATTCTAACCCTCCTGTCAATATGTTTGATTCTCTCCTTTCCCCACCCTGTCATTATCCTTTCTGCTTCACTTATCATTTCTCACAAACCACCTTCCTCCACCCTAATTTCTGTCCTTATAGAATCCCCACAGTGTGAAACAGGCCATTCAACCCAACAAGTCCATACCAACCCACTGAAAAGCATCCTACCCAGACCCATCCCCTTCCCTATCTCGGTAACCCTGCATTTCCCACGGCTAACGCATCTAACCTACACATCCCTGAAACCTATGGATAATTTAGCCTAATCTGTACACATTTGGACTGTAGGAGGAAACCAGAGCACCTGGCGAAAACCCACACAGACTCTGGGAGAACTTGCAAACTGCACGCAGACAGTCGCCCGAGGCTGGAATCGAACTCAGGTCCCTGGTGCTGTGAGGCAGCAGTCCCAGTCCTTCCTCCAATCCTTTTCTTTCCAACCTACCTTTTTGACTAATTCTAGGACATGAGACACATATTCTAAAGAGGCAGGTTGTAAGCCAGTTGAACTGAGTCTAATGCATTATGATGACGTTCACCAGTGTGCTTGGAATGGCTTGAATAAAATTAGCAGGGAGTGAGGGTATTCAATGATATTCGAGAAAAAAAAGTATCAAATTAGATAGGAGCAGACTACGAAGAACTAGGAGCAATGAACAGCCAGGATTACAATGCATATGTGTCAAAGCAAAAAAATGGAGTGAAAACATTTGGTGAGCTAAAAACAGTAGTAGCTTTGTGGTATTGATGGAAGCTCTGCTTCAGAATGATGAGGATTGGCCCTTAATATTCAAAAATATATGGCCTGGATTTTTGCAGAGTCGTGGAGATTATTGAACTTGCAAAATTGTGGATAGGACCCAGTTTTGGAAGTTCTGCCTCCATTTCTGGGTCCAATTTTTACTTGTGGGATAAACGGGTAATGTATCACTCTCACAAGGAAACTTGAACTGAGCACGGGATTCAAAATATGCCTGTTAAGTTCAAATGGACTCTATTTTGCAAGTGAATGTGAATCCACCATATTAAAATAAAGAATTTATGGAGTATACATGAAAGCTTTGGAAACTATCATGATCTGAAGGTTTTCAAACGTCCAGTTTTTTAAGCACTAAAAAATACCTGGCTGCAGCTGTCAGTATCTGTTAGAAAAAACGTTGGGTAGACACCGGATGCAGCAACTGTCCGAGTGATTTAAAAAGTAAAAATAGTTCATATTTCCGTAAGGAGTGTTGCGAATGCTTGTCTGACTTTCAAAAATGTACAAATATTTCAGTAAATATTGAGCTCACAGCTCTAATGAAGAGTCATCTAGACTTGAACCATTAGCTTGTTCTCTCTGCATGGTTGCTGCCTGACCTGCAGTGACTTCCAGCATTTTTATGTTTTGAGTTCAGAGTTTGTTTGGCTGTTAGAGGTTATTAAGGGTTTAGCTACCTTTTGAGGTGTAAACAGAATCATGTATGATTATTCATTACCTGTTAACCACTAAGTACTTCAAATGGATTGCCAAGATTTGGAGATTATTTAATATTTGTAGGCTGTATCAGACCCTTAGAATTTTTTTAAACATGATTTATGAGGTCTGTCTGTAGTGGACACTGGGTGAGTTGACATGGAGGATAAAATATCCAACAAGGTAGGTAAGTTGGCATGAAAGATATAAGAAACCTTTGTCCTGTGGTGGGCACTTAATCAAAATAATCCTTTCTATTAACATATTTTTAGAAAACACATGCTTGGGATACAAATGTCCTTCTTTTCTCCCACTCTCTCACCCCCAGCCCCCTCAGCCGAGGTGAGGAGGTTATTTTGGGGGACTTTCTACTGAAGTGGGTCTGGCGAGAGATTCCAAGTGTGTGTCCAGAATAGACAGGAGAGGTGAAAAGGGACGGTGGGGATGGGAACATTCATTGAAGGGATAACATTGTAGTGTTAGAAAGGGAGGATGTCCTTTAGGGGCAAAAATAAAATCTGTTTGGTTAGAGTTGAGAAACAAAAAATGTATGATCACATGACTGAAGTTATTCCATTGGTCCTTGAGTTGAGAGAAGAAACATTACTGAGGCAAAATCTACAGGGATGTCTCAGATTTGTGCAAGAATTATAGAGTGCTGCTACTGTGAGACATTAATTACCCAATTATCGATTGGGATAATGTTAGATTAAAGGAAGTGGAGATGAAGAAGTTTCTAAAATCTGTTCAAGAGATCCTGCTCGACCAGTTTCTTTTTCTCAGGCTGACTAGAAAGAAGGGATAGCTAGACCTAGTGCTGGGCAAAATGGTACGTCAAGTGAACAAAGAGTCTGTGGGGGAGCACTTGATTAAGAATGATATTCATGTCGTGAAATTCAGATTAGGGGGAAACAAAAACATTTGAGCATTAATTTCGAACTTTTAAATTGAGGGATGCAAAAACATCCAGCCAAGGGTAAAATGGAACTAAAGTTTGAAAGGAAAGTTGTTACAAAACAGTGAGTGCTCTTTAAAGAGACATTACAGGTAAAGATGATGCACATCTGAACAAAATGTGAAGAAAAGGAATAAAAGCTAAGATTTCTTGAATGACAAAAGAGTTGTTGAATAAGAGGTAATAAAAAGGTTTATAATACAAGTTGGGTCATTATATTGTGAAAAGCAGATCAAATATAATTATCTAATTCGACTTGAAAAAAGAAAATAAGACTGGCAAAGAGACTAAAAGGATAGATGGCAATGAACAGACAGCTAACCCCAAAATACTGTATCAGCACATAGAGATAAAGAGGGTACAATATGCCTTAGAGGGGCACCTCAGGGCAAGAACACTTAATTTTTGTATCAGTGTTTACGAAGAAAGATTTTAACAATGTATGCAAAGTGGAGATAGTAGAGGTAATGGTTGGATGAAAATTGACAGCCAGAGGATAACAATGGGTTGGAGAAAGTTGAATGTTTGCCTTAATTTTCCCAAGATATAGGTGATCTTGCAGAGCATTGAAAAGTGGCAAATGTGACACCCTTGTTCAAGAAAGTTGAAAGCATTCCTAGTAAATACAAGCTGGTTAGTTTAACATACAGGGTTTGTGGGGAGGGGTATGGTGGAGTGGATTTTAGAAACAAGAATCAAGGAAAAACTTAGTGGGTATCTTAAGAAGTTTGAGTTAAGTAAGGACAGCCAGCATAGATTTATTTGGTGAAGTAACAGACCTTTGATGAATGCACTATTATGACTGTACAATCATGACATCTGCTGGTTGGGTGTGGTGGAGGCTCCAAGTTGGAGAGAGGATGAGGTGCTTTGTTTTCCATGCAGCACTCTGAAGTAAGTGGTCAAGGATGGCAGGGCAGTGCTGTGAGTGAGTGGAAGGGAGAGTGAAAGAGGGATAGAGAGGGTTGGAGGGAGGGACTGACAGGCAGAGAGCATGCATGTGAAAGTGGAGGAGAAGAGTGTGGCAAACATGTTCACTTTCCGATCTCCCCAAAAACCTATCCATAAAGTAGGCTGGGAGAGGGGAAACCTAGCTGAGTCAATTTGCATCTGACTGCAACTTTCGTGGTTTTCTCTGCGGCCAGCTGTGTCTGTGCCACCAAAATGCAAGTGTGATGTCATTTAGATCCACTTGCTTGGCTCAGCTTCGATCACCTTCCCTTCCCTGATGATCAGGATTTGGAGCCGAATAGATTTCTTTTTAGCCCTGAATCTTAACTAAAAAGGCAATAATAAGGTTTTCTTAATTGTTGTGCTTTTTGACATTTTTTATTTTAATCACATTTTTAAAATTTATTTAAATTATCAATGTATTTTGTTATAATTGTTTTTCTTTGAAATTCATGCTTACTGTTATCCCAAACCTTATTTTT